TTTTTCAGTAGTCAGGTACAGATGTGAGTTCGACCATAAAGAAGGCTGGGCACCGCAGAATTGATGCTTTCAAACTGTGTTGCTGGAGAAGGCTCTTGAGAGTCCCTTGGACTGCAAGGAGATCAAACCAGTCAACCGTAAAGGAAATCAACCCTGAATATTCATTGGAAGGACAGATCCTGAAGCTAAAGCTCTAATACTTCAGCCACCTGATGCAGAGCTGACTCATTGAAAAAGACCCTGATGCTGGGAAAAACTGAAGGCAGAAGGAAAAGGGGGTGGCAGAGGATGAGATGGTTAGATCACACCACTGACTCAATGGACATGAATTTTAGCATACTCCAGGAGATAGTGGAGGACAGAGAAGCCTGGTGTGCTGCAGTCAATGGGGTCACAAAGAGCTGGCACAACTTAGTAACTGAACAACAAACAACAGAAAATAAAAGAGTACTTGCAAAACAGACATTTTTGTATAGAAAAAAAATTAAATGCTTTAAAAATTTTATTTTTTAAAGAAATGAAAATAACCTTTTCTAAAATTCTTTTGAAGTACAAAACATCATTATTAACCATCATTTTATTAATATGGATGAGGTATATTAACAATTGAAGGAATAACCATTCAGAACTAGGGCCCAGAGGAAATACAAATTATGTTTTATGTATTTATAGCTTTTCTATCAATTAAAGGACAGGGGAAATTTTGTATTCCCTTAATATACAATCTCCTATGACTCATCCATTTGTTATTTGACCCATAACTAGTATTTAATTCTTTGACTAGTCTACTCTAAAAACATGAGCCTATAAAAAAATACTGCTTGGGAATAACCTAAAAGAAACTGTTCCCTTATCTATAAAGAGGTGCAAGAGAAGATATTCTTGCATTTCAATTATTTTATATTAGATTAAAAGATGACACTAAGGGAAAACAAAGATACCATAGTGCTCATATTTGGCACTTGAGATACCAGTGATTAGCTAACTCCAACTTATGTGAGACTTCAGAATGCCAACAAAAGTTATCAAAATTGTATTCACTGGCAATGAAATGAAAATATACCACAGATCACGGTTCAGCTGGTGCTGGAGACACAGAATAGCCTAATAAAAAGAAATTAACTCTTCTAGAGCCAAAACAGTGTGCATAGATAACTTTTAGAGGGCATTAACTCCTTATGAAAAGCCTGACCCCTAGTGGCTACAAACTATGGCCACAGACCCCCTCAAAGGACTTTTTTCTTTTAAAAGATACAGTGTGGGGAATGCAGTCAATAATATACTGCTTTGTATCATGACAGATGGTAGACTTCTTGCGGTGATCATTTTGACACATACAGAAATACTGGATCACCATGTTGTGCACCAGAAACGAACACAGTGTTGCAGGACAAGTATACTTCAAAAACAAATTCACTCATAGAAAAAGACACAAAATTTGAGGTTACGGGTTGAGGGGGCTTAGGCGAAGGGGAACTGGATGATTCAATCCCCCCTTCAAAAGGTACCAATTTCAACTTATAACATATGTAAGTACTAGAGATGTAATGTAAAACATGCTAACTATAATGAGCAGAAAAGGAGTACATCAAGGCTGTATATTGTCACCTTGCTTAGTTAACTTATATGCAGAGTACATCATGAGAGGCGCTCGGCTGGAGGAAGCACAAGCTGGAATCAAGATCGCTGGGAGAAATATCAACAACCTCAGATACGCAGATGACACCACCCTTATGACAGAAAGTAAAGAGGAACTAAAAAGCCTCTTGATGAAAGTGAAGGAGGAGAGTGAAAAAGTTGGCTTAAAGCTCAACATTTAGAAAACTAAGATCATGGCATCTGGTCCCATCACTTCATGGGAAATAGATGGGGAAACAGTGGAAACAGTGTCAGACTATTTTTGGGGGCTCCAAAATCACTGCAGATGATGATTGCAGCCATGAAATTAAAAGATGCTTACTCCTTGGAAGGAAAGTTATGACCAACCTAGGCAGCATATTAAAAAGCAGAGACATTACTTTGCCAACAAAGGTCCATCTAGTCAAGGCTATGACTTTTCCAGTGGTCATGTACGGATGTGAGAGTTAGACTGTGAAGAAAGTTGAGCGCCGAAAAATTGCTGCTTTTGAACTGTGGTGTTGGAGAAGACTCCTGAGAGTCCCTTGGACTGCAAGGAGATCCAACCAGTCCATCCTAAAGGAGATCAGTCCTGGGTGTTCATTGGAAGGACTGATGTTGAAGCTGAAACTCTAACACTTCGGCCACCTGATGCGAACAGCTGACTCACTGGAAAAGACCCTGATGCTGGGAGGGATTGGGGGCAGGAGGAGAAGGGGACGACAGAAGATGAGATGGCTGGATGGCATCACCAACTCGATGGACATGAGTTTGAGTGAACTCCGGGAGTTGGTGATGAACAGGGAGGCCTCGCGTGCTGCGATTCATGGGGTCAGAAACAGTGGGACACGACTGAGCGACTAAACTGAAATGAACTGTCTGTAAGACAATGACACCAATCAACCAGAGCAGGTCAACAGTCACCTGAAGATGCCACTAAACGGCTGGGTAAAGTACTGTCTTTCAACTCCAAGATGCTAGTCCATTCAGGTGGGGAAGAGCCTGAAACGATGCGGAAGGCTGAAATCCCCAAGGGAAGAAAGACCGCACAGCAAAAGCACAGGGCAGAGAGCTGAGCGCACTGAAGATGAGCTTTACTGTGAGCTGAGCCAAGAAACGAAGGAGGGAGCCCAGCCTCAGGGGCAGGAGAATCAGGACGTCATGAGGAAGGCCGAGGAAGAAGGCCACCTGCAACACAGACGGCTTCCGAGTCCAAGGAGGAGGAAAACGGAATGAGTAACTCAGAAAGCAGTTTCAACAGTTTTGCATATGTATGTCTAAAAGGCAGTAAAAGCTTTTAAGAGAGAAAAAATGTAGGAAAATATGGACAGGAAGAATATAGCCTAAGTTTCACAGTTTTGAGAAGGATTAAAGGAAAACATACAAGCCAAATATTTCAAGAATGCAGTTTTCCTAAATATAAGCTACAGTTATTTCTATGCAATCCTTGTACATATTCCAAATTACTAGACAGCAAATTAAAGGGAAAAAATGTTATTTTAATGTGAGACACATCAAAAAGTATCATTTTAAAACATAGGTGTCATTCACAAGGTTTCTATATCATGTTGGAACATGTGGAATCTAGGAAAATGGCATAGATGAGCCAATTTCCAGGGTGGGAACAGAGATGCAGACATAGAGAAGGGACATGTGGACACAGTAAGGGAAGGGGAGGGTAGGACAAACCGGGAAACTGGGATTGACATGTATACACTAGCAGGTGTAAAACACATAGCTAGTGGGAAGCTGGTGTATCGCACAGGGAGCTCAGCCTGGCGCTCTGTGGTGACCGAGGGGGGTGGGAGGAAGGTCCAGGAGTGAGGGGATCTATGTACACACAGAGCTGATTCACGTCGCTGTACACCGGAAACCAACACACACTGCAAAGCAACTATACACCAATAAAAAATAAAAATATACATTAGTATATATCTAATGTATTAGACAATATAATAATACAGCAAGGAGATCAAACCAGTCCATCCTCAAGGAAATCAGTCCTGAATATTCGCTGGAAGGACTGATGCTAAACCTGAAACTCCAATACTCTGGCCACCTGATGTGAAGAACTGACTCACTGGAAAAGACGCTCATGCTGGGAAAGATGGAAGGTAGGAGGAGAAGGGGATGACAGAGGATGAGATGGTTGGATGGCATCACCGACTCAATGGACATGAGTTTGAGTGAACTCCAGGAGTTGGTGACTGACACGGAAGCCTGGCAAGCTGCAGTCTATGGGGTCGCAGAGAGTCGTACACAACTAAGCGACTGAACTGAACTGAATTACATACCTAAAACACAGTAAAACTTCATATAAAATAAAAATATTTATTTTTTCCCCTATCCTATGTAATCATTTTTAAAGGCAATGAAAACAGCCATGGGAATTCTATAGGAAGAAACAGTCATCCTTCAGTATTTGTAGGGTATTGGTTCCATGATACCCCTTACCCTCACACCCAAGGGTACCAAAATCTGAGGATGTTCTCGAGTCCCCTATACAAAGTGGGGCAGCATTTGCATATAACCTATGCACATCCTCCCTGTATGTATACTTGAAATCATCTCTAGATTACTTATACAATATAATACAATGTAAATAGTTATTAAATCAATTAGGTAGTATCTAAATAGTTGATGATGTGGAGCAAACTCAAGTTTTGGTTTTTGGAACTTCCTGGAAATTTTTTCTCTAATATTTTCAATTCACAGTATTCAAATTAGAAGATGTGGAACCTGTGGATATAGAAGGCCAACTGTATAGCTAATTGGGATTTTTACTAAAACCAAAATTCAATCTGTATTACAGCCTGAATCTGTTACTAGCTCACTTTATACTCTTAGATAAAATAATTTAGTGTTTTCATATTTTAAATACAAATAAAATGTATGCACTACACACAGAATGGTTACTTCTATTTATTAATTGAGCTACTATGCCATACTCAAAAAAAGAAATCAGAATATACAGAAGGATAACAAGTTTTAAAAATGAGGTTGATTCTTCAATAAAAGAAGGCTTCAGTTAATAAAATTTTAAAATACTCCTTTTTTACAGGAAGTTTAAAATGTGACACAATTTTCTAAAATTTATCTATGCATAACCTTTTTCTTTGGCCTCACCACTCAGCATATAGGATCCTCCTCAGCCAGGGATTGAACCCACGCCCCCTGCACTGGGCGCACAGAGTCTTAACCACTGGACCACCAGGGAAGCCCATTCTATACATAGCTTTTAATTGTGAAACGTAATCTTCAGAGAGCAAACTTGCATAAGAACAAGAAAATGACTTGAGGTTACACTAAATCAACAAGATCGGAAAATGAGAACTGAATATCAGGTTCACTAAAAAAATTTAAAGACACAAAATTTCACTTACCTTTTTAAACATAACTAGTGAGATGACTGCTGATGCTGTGAAAAGTGCTGCTATAATTATCATCATGATTCCAACAGGAATACTTTTGTTGAGACCAGTAAGGGATGAAATCCAACCACTATGAAATTTTTAAAAAGCATAATTAGGCAAATAAGTTAACACACAATTTTAAAAACAATCACATAATAACTAACATACATTCAGCACTTATGAGCCAGGCAACATTTTAGTTTTTTTGTATGCATTAACTCATTTAATTCTCACAATAGCCCCCTATGATATATGTTATATTTAATCCCTATTTCATAGATGAGAAACTTAGTCTCCAAGATTATTCAGTGACTTGCCCAAAGTCACACAGTTAATAAAAACAGCACAGTCTGAATTCAGACCTAAGCACCAAAATCCAGAGCCTTAAATATGAACAAAGATTTTACATTTTTTAAACCTATGAGTTCACTATTATTTTTTTTAAGTTTATTTTAAATTTTAATTATGTAAGAAAATATTTGAGAACCACATATTCAACAAAGAGCTAGTATCCAAAATATATAAAGAACCTTCATATCTCAACCTTAAAAGTCAATCTTTAAAATTAAAAAAATTTCCATTAGAAAGTGGACAAAGACATGAAGAGACAGTTCACCAAGAGGATATAAAGATGGCAAACAAGCACAAAAAAAGATAAAACACCATAGAACATTAGAGAAGTAAATATTAAAACCACAGTGTGACATCACTACACAGCTATCAGAATGGCTTGAAAAAAAAATCAGTGACACCACCAGAGTCTGGTGAAGATGTGGAGCTGAAGCACTCATACATTGTGGTTGGAACTGTAAAATGGTGCAGCTTTTCTGGTGAACACTGTCTGGAAAATAGTTTTTTAAAAACACCAAACAGGGAATCCCTGGCAGTTCAGTGGTTAGGACTCTGTACTCTGACGGGTTCAATCCCTTGTTAGCGGACAGCCCCAGGCGGGGGGAAATCATTTTAAAATAAATAAATAAAAATAAAAAACATGCAATTTCCATATGAACCAGCAATTACACTCTTCTTGGGTGCTTATCACAGAAAAATGAAAATTTATGTTCACACAAAAACTTGTTCATGAATGTTTATAGCAGAATAGCCCCAAACTGGGAACAACCCGAGGTCCTTCAACTGGTGAGTGGTTAAACAAACTGTGGTCTATCCACACCATAAGCTGCTCAGCAATGAAGAGGGATAACTACTCACAGACACGACGACCGGGGTGAATCTCCAGAGTATCACGTTTAGTAAAAAAAGCTAAAGGCTACGGACTGTATGACTCCATTTATATAACATAACTGAGGGGACAAGCAGATCAGCGACTGCTAGGGTTAAGGACGGAAGTGAGTATGGCAATAAACAGCAGAATAAAGGATCTTTTGGTGATGAAATTATCTTCTGTCTTTACTGTATCAATGTCAAGATCTTGATTTTGATACTATACCATAGTTTTACAGTATGTTACCACTGGGGAAAACTAAACAAAGGATACTTGGGGATCTCTCATTACTTCTTATCAAGTCTGTGAGTCAACAATTATCTCAGAATAAACAGCTTGATTTTTTAAAGTCTGCTGAATTACATGAGATCTAGCTTATAACAGGTCACCTTGTGTGCACCCTCACTAGCAGATTCCTGTGCTATTTAGTCATCTCACATGCTTCTATGCTTAGTTTTAACACTTTTTCCTAAGTCTGTACTAAAAAGCAAAAGAAATTATTTTGGCTTCATTATAAATAAGAAAGTACTGTTAACATAAACAGTGTATTTTTTTTAATTAAACATTTAAAACATCTCCTTTCTGTCAAATGCTAAAGACTAAAATTTTTAAAATGATAATGAACACTACTTTTTCCTAGAACTGATTTAAAATACCCTAATAAATTGTATGCATGTATATGTGCTCGTTAGATCTGCAAAGCTATCACTTTCAGTGTCTGCTCTAATTCAGTAGTCACATACTACATTCAAGTCTTCAAATACACTCTAGTTACATGATCAGTTTTGTTTACATACATAATGCAGCAGAGTTGCTTTGTATATGATTTCACCTTACAAAAATTCAACTGTATGCAACAGCTGTAAGACAGAGAAGGATGATTTTATAAATATGTATTCTTCTATGTACCATTTCACTCAAAGAACGTCTGCTCTGGAGTATCTGAAGAGAGAGATAAGATCTATTACCTTCTAACCAGGGTCTGAACAGTCTCAGTTCCTGAGGGTCGCCCACTGAGAGCATTTTGCCGTATTAAGACTGACTCTACTGTTTAAAGACAGATCCTTAACAAGCACGCAGCGACTCTACTGTTCAGACATGTGCATGTGTGTTTGTAGCTATGCGTCTACATGTTTACATGCCTAAAATAGCACTTTACACAGAACAAGTACTCTTTTCTTAAATTTCTTCAAAGGTTAGTGCTTAGGAAATTTTTTAATTGCCTTTTTTAATATTTGTTTACTTTTGCTAATCTGGTTATTCTCTGTCAAATATTTTTTAGGAATTCAAAAATTATATTAAGATATTAGAAGAAGAGATTTTAACTAGAGTAATTAAGGTAAATGACTTACCAGTTACCCCAATTATGAAATCCTGCAGCCTGGAGTACATGTACAGCAAACTGACAAATATAGACGAAAAAGAATACAAAGAATCTGAATGAACTGTCACTCCTGTTTTTAAAAAGAAAGGAGGAAAGAGGGGGAGTAGGGAGAAAAAGAAAAGGAAAATGTCATCATTTTTCTCAATACTTTTACATTCACATGTAGACTGACATACAAAATTTAAAAATATTTTTAAAAATATCAGTGGCAACTACCTGAACTGTCTATCCAAATGCTTAGACAATGTTATTATTATTACTCTCACTGATTTCCAACTGCACCACAAAACATCCTGGCAAAAGAAAAGTTACTTTGCTTTCCTTTTATTTTTTATTAAATAGCTTCACTGAATTATAATTAACATATAACATATAATAAACTGCAAGTATTTAAAATATACAATTCTGAAAGGTTTGACTTAAGTATATAACCATGAAACTTTTCTAATCAAAATACTGAACACAGTCCAAAATTTTGTGTACCTGGTTAATTCCTCCCTCCCCACCCACTGCTTTCTGTCACAATAGTTACATATTTTATGAGTTTTATTTAAATGGGATCATATAGTATATATTTTTTCCTTGTCTGCCTGCTTTCATTCAGCAGTTATTTTCCAGTTCATTCATGTTCTTGCCATGTAACAAAAATCCGTTCCTCTTCACTGCTGAGTAATATTCCATTACATAGTATGCTACAGTTTACCTATTCATTCATCTGTTGATGGACAGTTTTTTATGGTTTATCCTTCTAAAAATAAAGCTGCCATGTACATTCATGTATATATCCACATATGAACATCCATTTATCTTTCTCCTGGTAAATAATTACCTAGAAGTGGAATGGCTAGAACCCATGTTAGATATAAGTTTAATTTTTAAAGAAACTGTAAAATTGTTTTCCAAAGGAGTTGTTCTACTTCATATTCTCAATGACAGTATATGAGAATTCCAGTACCTCCACATCTCATTAAGATTTGACAAAATCAACTCCTTAAATTTTAGCCATTCTAAGAGTTGTATAGTGGTAACTCAATTTAAATTTGCATTTCCCTAATAACTAATGTTGAGCACATTTTTATCCACATTTTTGTCATCCATACATCTCCTGTGGTGAACTATCAAAATATTTTTCCAAGGTTTTAATGTGCTTTTTCCCCTTACTGTTGAGTTTTCGCTCTGAGTTTGAATATATAGGTCTTTTTATCAGATAAATGCTTTGCAGAATTTTCTCCCAGATTATGGCTTATCTTTTTATTCTCTTAAGAATGTTTTTTAAAGAACAAAGTTTTGTCTTTTTATGGACTCAAATTTATCAATTGGCTTTTTTATGAAACTTGATTTTATTGTTTTATCTAAGAAATCTGTGCCAAAGACAAGATACAAAGATTTTTTTCTTGTTTTCTCAAGAAGTTTTATATTTATTGGTTTAACATTTATGTCCCCTTTTTTGGTTAAGTTTTAAGATATGAGGGATGGATTAAAGTTCTTTTATTGAACATATAAATGCAATTATTTCCAGCATCGTTTCTTTTTTTTTTCATTTATTTTTATTAGTTGCAGGCTAATTACAATATTGTAGTGGGTTTTGTCATACATTGACATGAATCAGCCATGGATTTACATGTATTCCCCATCCCGATCCCCCCTCCCACCTCCCTCTCCACCCGATTCCTCTGGGTCTTCCCAGTGCACCAGGCCCGAGCACTTGTCTCATGTATCCAACTTGGGCTGGTGAACTGTTTCATTATAGATAATACACATTTCGATGCTGTTCTCTTGAAACATCCCACCCTCGCCTTCTCCCACAGAGTCCAAAAGTCTGTTCTGTACATTTGTGTCTCTTTTTCTGTTTTTCATATAGGGTTATCATTACCATCTTTCTAAATTCCATATATATGTGTTAGTATGTGGTAATGGTCTTTATCTTTCTGGCTTACTTCACTCTGTAGAATAGGCTCCAGTTTCATCCATCTCATTAGAACTGATTCCAATGAATTCTTTTTAATGGCTGAGTAATATTCCATGGTATATATGTACCACAGCTACCTTATCCATTCGTCTGCTGATGGGCATCTGGGTTGCTTCCATGTCCTGGCTATGATAAACAGTGCTGCGATGAACACTGGGGTGCACGTGTCTCTTACAGATCTGGTTTCCTCGGTGTGTATGCCCAGCAGTGGGATTGCTGGGTCATGTGGCAGTTCTATTTCCAGTTTTTTAAGAAATCTCCACACTGTTCTCCATAGCAGCTGTACTAGTTTGCATTCCCACCAACAGTGTAAGAGGGTTCCCTTTTCTCCACACCCTCTCCAGCATTTATTGCTTGTAGACTTTTGGATAGCAGCCATCCTGACTGGCGTGTAATGGTACCTCATTGTGGTTTTGATTTGCATTTCTCTGATAATGAGTGATGTTGAGCATCTTTTCATGTGTTTGTTAGCCATCTGTATGTCTTCTTTGGAGAAATGTCTGTTTAGCTCTTTGGCCCATTTTTTGATTGGGTCATTTATTTTTCTGGAATTGAGCTGCAGGAGTTGCTTGTATATTTTTGAGATTAATCCTTTGTCTGTTGCTTCATTTGCTATTATTTTCTCCCAATCTGAGAGCTGTCTTTTCACCTTGCTTATAGTTTCCTTTGTTGTGCAAAAGCTTTTAAGTTTCATTAGGTCCCATTTGTTTATTTTTGCTTTTATTTCCAATATTCTGGGAGGTGGGTCATAGAGCATCCTGCTGTGATTCATGTCGGAGAGTGTTTTGCCTATGTTCTCCTCTAGGAGTTTTATAGTTTCTGTTCTTGCATTTAGATCTTTAATCCATTTTGAGTTTATTTTTGTGTATGGTGTTAGAAAGTGTTCTAGTTTCATTCTTTTACAAGTGGTTGACCAGTTTTCCCAGCACCACTTGTTAAAGAGGTTGTCTTTTTTCCATTGTATATCCTTGCCTCCTTTGTCGAAGATGAGGTGTCCATAGGTTCGTGGATTTATCTCTGGGCTTTCTATTCTGTTCCACTGATCTATATTTCTGTCTTTGTGCCAGTACCATACTGTCTTGATGACTGTGGCTTTGTAGTAGAGCCTGAAGTCAGGCAGGTTGATTCCTCCAGTTCCATTCTTCTTTCTCAAGATTACTTTGGCTATTTGAGGTTTTTTCCAGCATCATTTCTTAAAAAGACTATTCTTTCTGCACTACATTACCTTTGTACCTTTCTAAAAAAAATCATTTATCTATATGTGGGTGGGTTTATTTTTGAACTCTGTCTCCTCATTCTATTTGTCAACCTTTATGTCAGTATCACACCATTTTGACTGCTTAAGTTTTCTAGTATGTCTTTAAATTAGGTATGTTAATCTTCCAATTTTGCTGTCTTTCTCAAAGTTGTTTTGGCTATTCTAGGCTATTACATTTCTATATATCTTTTAGAATCACCTAGTTCATTTCCATAAAATAACCTAAAGGGATTTTTATAGGGATTACATTGCATCTATAGATCCATTTGGAGAGAATTCACATCATATAATATTGAGTCTTCCAATCCATTAACAAGATGCATGTCTCCATTTATATTTTCTACATAGATGATTATGTAATCTGTGGGGAAAAAAGTCAGTTTTACTCCTTCCTTTCTAATGTGAGGCTTCTTACTTTGTTTTCTGACCTGTTTATACTGGTGTGAATCTCTACTACAAAGTTTAAAATAAGTGGTGAGAATAAACATCTTTATCTTGTTCTTGGATCTTAAACAGCTTTTAGTCCTTCACCATTAAGTATGATGTTAAACGTTACAGTTTTTCATAGATACCCTTTATCAAGTTGAGAAAGTTACCTTTTATTCCAACTTTGAGTGTTTTTATCATGAAAGTGAAGGTTTTTGGATTTTGTCAAATGTTTCTTTTGCATCAATTAAGATGATCATATAGTGAATTACAATAACTAATTTTCTAATCTTAAACCAATCTTGAATTCCTAGAATAAGCTACACTCACTTGATTGTGACACAGTATCTTTAAACATACTGTTGAATTTGATTCTTTGGCAAGATTTTCAACTGTCCAAAGTTTACTCCATTTCTGCTCATCCCAGTGACTATTCCAACCCCAAAACACATTTTTGGAAGTCTTCATTAGGGAAGATTTGTCCCTTCTGCTTCATTTATTTAACAGTCATTTGTTTATATTAATATGAGCATGGCTCATACATATATATGTTCTTTTTTCTTATTAATGTTTTTGCTTTATTACTTGTATACCAAGAAACCAGAGTATATGTAACACATACTCTGAAGAGAGTTTCATAAATAGAATAATGTCTAAAGGCATCACAACAGCTATTTCAGTTACCTAACAGGGATCTTTCTAGGTTCCAAACTTACAGATAAATTCTATAAACTGAACCTACCTAACAAAACATCTAAGAAATCTATTACAAGGTACAGAATATGTCTTAAAAAGTAAGCGTCTTATAGCCTCTTCAATAGGGGGTGCTGGGAAAACTGTGAAAAAGCTACATGTGAAAGAATGAAACGAGACCACTTCCTAACATCATACACAAAAATAAACTAAAAATGGATTAAAGACTTAAATGTAAGGCCAGAAACTATAAAGCTCTCTTAGAGGAAAATAAAGGAAGTATACTCTTTGACATGCATCACAACAAGATCCTCTTTGAAATAAAAATAAACAAATGTGACTTAATTAAGCATACAAGTTTCACACAGCAAAGCAAACTATAAACAAGATTAAAAGACAACCCTCAGAGTGGGAGAAAACAATAGCAAACAAAACAACTGACAAAGGATTAATCTCAAGAATATAAGCAGCTCATACAGATCACATCAGGAAAACAAACAGCCCAATCAAAAAATGGGCAGAAGACCCAAACAGACATTTCTCCAAAGAAATACAGATGGCTAATAAGCACACAAAAAGATCTTCAACATTGTCCAGGGTTAGAGAAACGCTAATCAAAACTACACTGAAGAATCACCTCACACCAGTCAAAATGGCCATCATCAAAAAAATCTACAAACAATAAATTCTGGATAGGGCGTGGAGAAAAGGGAACCCTCTTGCA